AATTGCTAACGTGACAATATCATAAAGCCATAAGCAAATGTCCATGTATGAAACAAAGATGGAGCACTACCTTCATCAGCTTCAGCACTAGAGACGTGAACTACGAGTACCTTGTGTCTGCTTCATCTGTAACAGAGCCAGCGTTTCAACTTCCGTGCATACATCCCCGAGGACTAGTCATCTTTGTCCAAAATACAACATTAAGCGGTAATAATAGTTTCCCCTTCTGCATTTGACAGCATTATGATGCGGAAATAGTGACCATGCATTAGTTTAACGAACAGAAGTTTGTGTTGTAAAGGTTTTCACATTTTTTATGTTGCTGAGGGTGCATCCTTTATTGGGCATGAAATGAGCTACTTCCCTGTAACGAAGGTGTCAAAGACTTTAGAAACCGATTACCATTGCAAAGGGATTCAGTGGCAGAAAAGGTTCCCTGTATCTCATGTTTGTAGTGAGAGCCGAAAGCTGAGGATCGGGTTGTCAGAATGTGTGTCCTGGTTGATGGTGGCCCTCGTAGCCCGCGCCTTATGTAGCTACACGCAATGTGTGTCCTGGTTGACGGTGTCTCATCGTAACCCGCGCCTTATGTAGCTACACACAATGTGTGTCCTGGTTGACGGTGTCTCATCGTAACCCGCACCTAGTGTAGCTACAAACAATGAAACAATGTGTGCTCTGGTTGACGGTGCCCATCGTAACCGAAATCTTATGTAGCTACACACAATGTGTGCTCTGGTTGACGGTGTCTGATCGTAACCCGCGCCTTATGTAGCTACACACAATGTGTGTCCTAGCTGACGGTGCCCATCGTAACCCGCGCCTTATGTAGCTACACACAATGTGTGCTCTGGTTGACGGTGCCCATCGTAACCCGAAACCTTGTGTAGCTACTCACAATGTGTTTCCTAGCTGACGGTGTCTCATCGTAACCCGCGCCTTATGTAGCTACTCACAATGTGTGCTCTGGTTGACGGTGTCTCGTCGTAACCCGCGCCTTATGTAGCTACTCACAATGTGTGTCCTAGCTGACGGTGTCTCATCGTAACCCACGCCTTATGTAGCTACACACAATGTGTGTCCTGGTTGACGGTGCCCATCGTAACCCGAAACCTTATGTAGCTACTCACAATGTGTGCTCTGGTTGACGGTGTCTCATCGTAACCCGCACCTAGTGTAGCTACAAACAATGAAACAATGTGTGCTCTAGTTGACGGTGCCCATCGTAACCGAAATCTTATGTAGCTACACACAATGTGTGCTCTGGTTGACGGTGTCTCATCGTAACCCGCGCCTTATGTAGCTACTCACAATGTGTGTCCTAGCTGACGGTGTCTCATCGTAACCCACGCCTTATGTAGCTACACACAATGTGTGCTCTGGTTGACGGTGCCCATCGTAACCGAAATCTTATGTAGCTACACACAATATGTGCTCTGGTTGACGGTGTCTCATCGTAACCCGCGCCTTATGTAGCTACACACAATGTGTGTCCTAGCTGACGGTGCCCATCGTAACCCGCGCCTTATGTAGCTACACACAATGTGTGCTCTGGTTGACGGTGCCCATCGTAACCCGAAACCTTATGTAGCTACACACAATGTGTGCTCTGGTTGACGGTGTTTCATCGTAGCCCGCACCTGATGTAGCTACACACAATGTGTGTCCTGGTTGAAGGTGCCTCATCGTCACTCGCACCCTATGTAGCTACACACAATGTGTTTCCTGGTTGACGGTGTCTCATCGTCACTCGCACCCTCTATAGCTACACACAATGTGTGTCCTAGTTGACGGTGTCTTATCGTCACTCGCACCCTCTGTAGCTACACACAATGTGTGTCTGCTTACGGTCTTGTCAGCTTTCAATGTCGCTGAAGGTTCACTCATTTATTAAGAAGTCACAACAGTTGCTTCTCTTTGTGAAAATCAGTCACAATACCGGAAGGTTTCAAAAGTAACCTAAAGGGACCTAAATTTACAATCAAGTTACAGAAAAGGGTATCATCAGTCGGATCTTCTTAATCTTCTTAATAGGACATTATATTATAATAACATTAAAACATAGTCGTTTTTATCATTCCATACACTTTTACTGCCTCATAACTGGTTATTCGTCGTAATTAACATAGTATTACTTCCCTAGATTTGTCAAATAATTATGTGAATATAGATAATAATTAATTATGTGCCGGGTTGTTGAATATGATGGTTCCCTGTTCACATTTGAATACAGTAGTTTAATCTCTCTCTTTGTTGTTCGCTCATTTGGGCCATATTTCCTTCCCTATCTATTTTCAGATTTTTTATTCGATTTTGACTTTGTAAGCATCCTTCCTTTTTCCGCTTTGCAACAAAACACGAATTATGTTCCTTTCATAAAATACCCACAAAAAACAACAACAAAAAACAAAAAAAAGACGAAAAAAAAGAACTTTGATGCGAGGCATCAACACATCAGCAACAAATTATCATGTCTTTATAAAACTGACAAACAAATTAAATCTACAATAAAATATTTAAAAGTACTTAAAAGTATATGAACAATACTGATTAGAATTAATTCCCTGTTTTACATATAACACCAGGTGTTTGAGAACGATACCTTACATGCCTCACACGCTGAATTTGATACAGCGAGGGAGGGAACGTGTATCCCTGTCGTCGACCCCGTTCGATTCGCTGTGTGGAGGTGAGTCAATTTGGCGTGTCTGAAGTTTAAGATTGTGGATTCGCCCTGATTATGATTCTTGGTTCCTAAAGAGTTTCGCAAAAGTGGTATATACCTGAGGCCTGCATCCCTTCGGAACCCGGGTTCGATTCCCCACATGGGTACAGTGTGTGAAGCCCATTTATGGTGTCCCCCGCCTTGATATTGCTGGAATATTGCTAAAAGCGGCGCTTTGAAGTATTGGGCATTAACCACGGACAAAAAATTCATGAATGTCTGAGGGGTAGAGCCGAAAATAAAAGTCTGAACCAATGGTGAAGAAGCCTTTGGAGCTAGGGGAGTTGGCTGTTTGTCAAATGTTATTCCCATGTATTTGACAAGTACATGAACACCAGGAACAGCAGATAGACACTTGTATGTTTGGGACTTCGTGTAGTACGTATCGCCAATGGAGCCATACTGGGTAGAGGAGAGACAACACTATTCACAAGATCACCAATTTCAAGTTTAACAATGAATCACAAGATTACAAATTTCAAGTTTTATTATGAATTCAACATCACAGTTTTGGAGCCACAGAATTAAGATATTGGACATAATTTATTTTAGGGTCAACTGTCAAAATTAGTACCACAAATTTAATGGTCACATCAGAAATGATAGTTTCAGTGTGAGTTATGTCTTGATGTTTTCGGGGTCCTTTTTATACCATGTTGATGTAATGTTCTGCAAATTCTGCATCAGTGGAGCTTTCTTCAAAGACAACTGCATTTGAATTCTTGCCATTCTCGTCACTATCGCTATCCATATTGAAGCGATTTTCAATAAACAACGAGCTCGCCAAAACAGTCAGCTAAAACTAAAACCAACCACGTCGGGCGAGAGAAGCCCGTGCTACAACGAAAATTTAACACAATAACAGGATAAGCCACCAGTAAGATCCTGACTGTAATATAAACCTATTATTGATATACTAATCCTATTTCAACCAGAAACGTGGAAAAGTAACGATATCTGACCCCATACAACAAAAACGGACAGAGCTACTGACAAAACGTGCTCGTCTGACCTCGCCGACAATCTGAAACGGTCTTCCTTCTTCGGGAATGACGTTCTATGTGGAGTGACGTCCCTTGGATTAACATGTCTGGCTTGACAACATGATCTGCTGTCTGAGGACAACTAAAGACTTGTAAAGTAGAAGGGCCTTAATGTAGTAGGACAGAATGAAAGGGTATGGGTAAAAATACAACTTCAGCGCAAGGTCAAGTCATCTGGTTGTGAATGCCACCGAATCCCACTGTGAATGTCTTTGAATCCCTCTGGAAATGTCATTGATTTTCCCAGTCTGTGAATGTCACTGAATCTCTCTGTATGTGAATGTCATTAAATGTCTCTGTCTGTGAGTGTCACTAAATCTATCTGCCTGTAAATGTCAGCGAATCCCTCTGTAAATGCCACTGAATCCCTCTGTCTGTTAATGTCACTGAATCCCTTTGTAAATATCAGGGAATCCCTCTGTCTGTGAATGTTCCTGAATCCCTATGTCTGTAAATGTCACTGATTATCCCCCTGTAAATGTCAGGGAATCCCTCTGTCTGTGAATGTTCCTGAATCAATATGTCTGTAAATGTCACTGAATCCCTCTGTAAATGTCATGGAATCCCTCTGTCTGTACCTGCCAATACATCCATGTACCCGTGAAATCATTGAATCTCTGTCTGTTAATGTCACTGAATCTCTCTGAATCCATCTCTGTGTACATGGCATTGACTCCTTATATCTGTAAATTCATTGAATCTCTGTCTGTAGACGTCACTGAATCCCACTGTCTGTGAATGTTACTGAATCAATATGTCTGTAAATGACGCTGAATCCCTCTGTAAATGTAATTGAATCCCTATACCTGTAAATTCAATGAATCTCTATCTGTGAATTTGACGGAATCCCTCTCTCTGTACATGCCAGTGAATCCCTCTATCAGACTATTCATTGAATCTGTTTGTGAGAGGGCAACCGATGTTGACAAATGTCTCTTGCGATTGGCATTAGGGGAATATCCATCGACTTTATACAACATGCAAACAGTGTGACTGTTGACAGTTGAAATGCTATGATTATGGCAAGATCCGTCCACTTCAACTGTTGGCGTCGATTCGGCTTCATTGCATTAATGCTTCAAAATGGCAGCGATGGGATATCGTTGCATTTACGACATATTAATCAAATTTCAAATTTCAAAGGTAAAGAGCAAAATATGAAAAACGCAATACCAACTTCTTACAACATTAAGGATTTATTTCAATATTGAAATTGAAAGTAGAACCAATAATATGAGCTTCCACGTGATAAAATACATTAATGGTATCATTCATCCAAAGCCATCCACTTGTCGTGATAGTTATCCAATTTCTACTTTCCAGTTTATAAACTGTCTGATAGGGCTGCATAAAAATGAATTGGTCATGTATCTGAGACATATATAAAGTATATTGTGTTGAACCTCAAGTATGGTTGAGCGGTAGATGGACACTGATTTATATCTCTACGTGACATGTGTTTCTCTAAATAGGACAAACCGATACAAACACCATGCTTGGTCAACTGGAAATCAGGAGAAACTAGATGATCTTATTTATATCCATCAATCTGTCTTGCTCCCTTCAAAACCGTTTCCCTGAAAAGAAATAACATACATTTATAACATGGCTCCTTTGTCTTTCACGATGCTCCAACTAACTGAAATGTTAGTTAAACACCACTTGGCAATGACGGAACTTCTTTTCTTTCCTATCATTACTCTATGCATGCATTTATGATTTGGTAGCTTTTCGTTCAACGAAAAGAACAGATGGAAACGAAATTACTATTATCTTGATGACGGCTATGCTTGATCATAATAGACCCAGCAACATGGGTAAGTAATGTTTCGGTGATTGATAAATGTGCTCGAGTAGGTACAAAATGAATAGTATAAGTTCCTGGGTCATGCATTTCAGACCCCGAGTCGGCAAAGAGGGGTGCACGTGCGAAAGGGTTCCTGAATATCATTCAAAATAACTTTAACAAAAAAATGTTTTTTAAGCGTTTTAGGTGCTGAATTTGCGCACATGGTTTTAATAGGTTAGAGCACTTGGACCATGGACCATAATGACAAATCTGACTCTAACTAACCCTTTTAAGGATTAGACACCAGGGCCCACTTGCACAAAGCGATCTTAGCGCTAAGATGATCGTAACTCCCATACTTTAGCATAGGCTTACAATAGTCTTAGCGCTAAGATCGCTTTGTGCAAGTGGGCCCAGGTCCTCGTGCTTTAACCAATACATAGTGCAAGACATCATAGGAGCATAAGCAGGTTGATGTGAGTTTAACTGCAAAGTTAAACTGAAGTGTTATTTGTCCTGTAAAGGGTCCAACCATCCTCTCCTTAGGAACTTAAGGTCAACCTTATCCGCACAATTTGGATGAAGACGACTGAATCTTGTAGACACAGCAAATACCTAGTTGGTAGCACGTGTATACCCAGATCTGTTTCTGCAGTAACACTGACAAAACTGATGAGAAGTTGATGTTCTAATGCTGAACACATGACAGTCCACCGGATCTCTCCAATGACGAATACTGTTCAACCACGTACAGATAAGTTACAACCGAGAAGAAATTCTTCGAACAAATATTTAAGCGTCAGTACGGCTAAAGGTTAAACCATCCACAGATATCTTGTAGCCGCGTTTAGCGAGAATCGGTGGAAGGCCCGCTACTAATATCTTAATGTCTACCAACTGAAACCCAGTATCAGGCATCGGGGCTCATCTCCCATCTCGCTGTGCAGCACGTTTCCAGCGGCATCACAACAACCTGTCATAAAGCCTGACTCCTGGGCCCACTTGCACAAAGCGACCTTAGCGCTACAACTATTGTAAGCCCATGCAAGCATGGGAGTTACGATCATCTTAGCGCTAAGATCGCTTTGTGCAAGTGGGCCCTGATCTAGCAGCATCTGAAGACAAACAGTTGTGTGGACCTATTCTGAACAGGGTTCTCATGGGGTATAAGTTGGTACCATTCAGCTTACCAGATCTCTTCCTCGCACATATAATGACCCTCAGGTACAGCCATTCCATTGAATCGTGAGTGGAGACTGAGAGAGTAGGCGCCCATGTTCTCAAAGTAGAACCAGTCCCCGATCTGGAGCTCGGGGAGAGGCCCTTCCTTCAGGACACAGTCACTGCCGTCACATGTCGGACCCCACAGGCTGGAGGTGAAGGTCACGTCACTAGCGGGTACCTGACATAACCATATACATATTAGAGTCAAATTCACACTGAGCGAGTGATTGGTTTTAACGCAGTTTTGAGAACTTTAAACAGGATTTAAGTTATTGCATAGCGTGTCGGAATGGACAGCTCGAATTGACCGTTTTTTGGAGGTTTATCAGTTTGGAGAAATCCATGATCACAGGTAGATCTGGGATTCGAACCCACGATCACCGGATTCACTGGTTACGGGTTTCTGTCACAAAAGGTCCTATGGCATTTAATTCTGCCCATTGAAACTATGGTCATCCTCAAATTAGAAAAGCATTTTACAAAAATGACGGAAAAGAAAATTCGCTTCCACGGTAATAGCCCCTTCACATTGCACAGGTCAGTTAGTGTCGAAATAGATTCATTTTTCTCTGAGGCCAAAATGGTTATACCAATGATCAAATTATTTTCTGAGCAGATATTTGTTAAAGTCATTATAAAATAGAAAGCTTCTGAATAATCGCAATTATCGTTGCATGTAATATTTGGGTACACTGCCTCACATTAATTGTGAAATTATTTAAACAGACAAAACGTGCGATCTCGGGCATAGACTACAGAATGAATTCCTTAGAAAATACAATTGAATATATTTATCTTAGATAAAACTTTCTCATCGTTTACATTTATCCAAATGACATATTATTGGTATTACTTTATAATTTATAGTTATGCAGTGGGAATAATTATTAATCTGGTTTTATTGGTTTTGTACATAAAGTGTTCACCTTGACTAATGTAGGTATCATGCAAGTGTCTTCTGAGAGAACGAAGCTTAACGATCCATATACACCGTCATTTATATAATACATATATGTTGGGGTGACGTCACGGGGCTTCTCCGGGTCCAAAGTCTTCACTGAGAATACAATAAATATAAACCAGTCGTGTACACATGTCAATTCCATTGTTGTGTTTTTGCAATTACTTTTTGGCATCAATTAAGGGATATTTTTGAATAATCACCGAACAAATTATTAATTTCATTAAATTGAAATATACTGATGATCAAAAGAAAGTACACCGAGAATTTGTTTTTGAGATATAGATAGTTTACAGAACGTAACAAATAGAACTTCGTTGCTGTATTTGGGTGATGCTGTATGAGTAAAATGACGTTGAGAAGACAACTTGCAATGCACGTTAAGTCAGTAAGTGAGTTTGGTTTAACGCTGATTTTAACATTATTCCAGTTATATCATGGCGTGTCAGCTTTATGTGGGAGTAAAGCCCGAAGATATGCAGGCTTTAGACGTTTACAATTTTGGTGAAACCCATGAGCACGCGTATGGTGCTGACAAACCAAAAAACATAACCTCTGCAAACCGGGATTCGAAATCAGAGTCTGGTTTGTGTGTCGAAGGGACGCAACTCGCACAGCGAATTGAGGCGCCTTAGACGACCGTGCCATCCCTGCTCCCAATGCACGTGAAGCATGATATTCGTGTACACAAGGGTATAAAAACGGTGGCATGGCAACCGAACGTTATCAGTCAACAGTAAAATACCCGAGAACATAGCAAGGCCAACGGCTGAACAACGAGAGAAAGCCTAGTGGTTAAAGCGTTCGCTCGTCACGCCGAAGACCCGGGTTCGATTCTCGGCATGAATATTGCTGGAATATTCCTAAATGCGGCGTAAAACCACACTCTATCACTCGTTCACCACGTAATCTCACAACAACGAGAAAGCGTATTTGTGCATGCGCTGTGCTGCAGATCTCACTCGAGGGAAGTCTGGGCCAGCAAGGTCCCAAAACACCTGCTTGTCATAAGAGCTGAGGTTCGGGTCATAACAATGTGGAACCTTATTTCCAGGAGTCATGTTCATGGTGTGAGCCTCCGATTTGCTTGTAAGAATCGGTGTTTTACAGGCCACTGTGGTATAATTTTAACAGTCACTCACGCTCATTTAGATCTCTTTCCCCAACGACGGCCGTGCACTTCCTCTTTGCAATCACACTTGTCACTAAGGTGAAAGGCGATGCTGCAAAGAACCGCCCCGGTTCTGCCATGACCTTGACATTGGAGCTCACGGGAAAGAACGCGTCTAGAGATCTATTCAAGGCGGTGGCAACCTGGAAATAAAATAGCTATCAGTGAACTCATTTACCATGTGCGTTCGTTCGTTCGTTCGTGCGTGCGTGCGTGCGTGCGTGCGTGCGTGCGTGCGTGCGTGCGTGCGTGCATACCAGTTATTTTTTGTGATTGGGACGTGGCAACTGTGGCAGCCCCCTATCACATGTCCACCCAAGTTCTATTTCCTACTTGGGTAGGATGCGCACCCTCCTTTCCCAAACTCCTGAATCCACCTAATTTATTACGCCATCTGGACCAGGACAGACAAGATGTTGTACCTTTTCAAAAGATACTGGTGCTCCTCTGTGTCCGTAGATACCTCCGCCAACGTCAAGAGTATGTAGAGTGAATCCCATCTTCGCTGCAATCCCAAACACACTGCTGGCTCTCTGTAGTGACGTGGCGAACACTTCCGGGTCCTTTATTCCGCTGCCCACGTGGAAACTGGTGGCGAGGATGACACATAGGAAAGCAGAGACAATGTCATGTATTAACCAGCGCGGATACCGAATACTGGCAACGTATTCGTCACCACTCGCCTCTTTCCGTATCCTGCAAGAAGACTCGTCTCCCTATCGATGAATGTTATGTTCGAAAATACGACAAACCAATCAGAATGCGCGCATGATTTCAAGTTCTTCGTCAAAGAATCTCTCAGAAATAATTTTTGATTTTACATATGTCTTGCATCTAAAAATATACCCAAGGCACAGTTTAATGTGTTCAATCATACTGTACAATTCCGCACGTCCAGATGTGCTTTAAATTGCATCTGAAATATATATAATATATGGGGAAATATATGTGAACCATTACGCGACGAGTTGACAATTAGTTTTGGTATGCCCGTTTGCGCTAAGACGGAACCCGGTCGCAAAAATGGCCACGAGAGGGGAGAAGTCGCTATTCGGCTTGTCCCGGAATAACACGAGTTGGTCACGAATGGGTAAACGATTTTTTTTTGATTTTTTTTTTTTAAAATCTTTTTTATTATTATTCCATTTCATGTATATTGTTACAAGTGTAGGTATTAACATGTATATATATGACAGTATTAACACAAGTTATAGTTTTCATAGGTGAGGACAGGCAGGTTGTGTAGGATATGTCGTCTTCTCAAACTGAGAGGGAGATTATAAATATTTGTTTACAAGAAATAGATGATTACTAATTAACAGGTAGTATGTTTCAACTGCTTTGTTAGATTATGAGATGTAAGTTTTGCCATTTCTGAGCATATTGGTTAAATTGATTATTTTTTTAGCGATAAAACTTTCCAAACAAATTATGTCTTTTAGTAGTGAAAGAAATTGCTCGAAAGATAAATCTTGTTGTTTAATGTTTGATATGTAGATGAATCTTTTTGCTAATATAATAATATGATTTTTTACATGGTTTTGAGTGGAAATACCAAAAAAGATATTAAGTTTCGAAAGGATAAAATTTGTTTGCAGGTTGTTATTTAGGAAGTTTTCAACTTTAAGCCAAAATTGTTGAACAGATTGGCAATCCTAAATACATGAGACATATCTTCAGAAGCAGTTTTACAGAAAGTACAAATATCTTCATCGACAAGTTTCATCTTGAATAATTCTTTCTTAGCGTAAATTATTCTGTTTATAAATCGATATTGAAAATCTAAAAGTTTACAATCGCGCGTGCATTTTCTATAACATAGAAGTATATCTTTCCAATCCAAACCTTGAGGAAAAAAACATATTCAAGTGTTCTAATGATTTCGGTACAGTATCCTTCCTAATTAGTTCATCATAAAAAGTCCTTGATTTTTTAACGTTATTAAAGAAGTGTTTACATATATTGTTCAGCTGAACTACATTAACATCAAGGGTTTTGTCTCTGATTTGAAATCTCCAACTCTTTGGAATATTGTTCAGTAATTTTTGAAAGTCTAGAAAAGTTGGAATAACACGAGTTGGTCACGAATACTGGCAACGATGTCTAGCAAGATGTGGATCAGTTTAATAATGATGTTATGTTTGGAGCAGAAACATCGAACAAGGTTCTTCATAAAGGTCGTAGATGACAACACGAGTGGCTGTCATATACTATGTTACAACGCGAGAGAACTCGTTTTAAAACGAGTTGTAAAATAGTTGGTGCATGTCAGGCACGAGTGCAGTAATCTTGGTGTTATACGCAAACTAAAATCTGGAAATTGATCTCAGGAATGTTTGATACAACTTCTCTCAAATGGGTTTCTCACCCACAGGTAAGAAAAAATTGTACGCTAAAGGAGGTTAATGACTCGTTTTTCACACGAGAGCCCATCAGAAGAAAGTAGTGGTGGAGTGATTTGGTAGGAAAAGTAAGTTTCCAATCATAGCCCAGAAATAACAATATTCGTTTATTAGAAAAAGCTCACTTCTCATGATGTTTATCTTTTTCTCCGATATGACACCTCACCACGCAAAAATGTTATAGCCTCACCAATCAGCGCTTAGGCTTCGAAATTCTCTGTACGAATGAGTGTCACAATCAGACCAGCATAAACGAAGTTAAGCGGCCAGTTCCGAATATAAATAATACAGGCCGCTCCATCATGTTCATGAGACTTTATACACCCGGTCGTTTCTAAAACGGCATGGCATGTACACACAGAGTACCATCGGAGGCATATTGATGTTATGTGTATGTTTTCTTTTGTTAAAATTGAAATTTCCGAATCGAAGTGGTAATAAAACGAAGCCCAATTGGCATAGAAAGCTGGCAAATAATTAACTCAATAACAGACTCATGCTTAGTTTGAGTGGTCCAAGATCGCTTAAGATACGCCTGACGCGACCTTCTATGGATGGATACCAAAAGACGTTAAAAGATGGTACTTGTTGTTCCCCTGTCTGGCGCCTGGATAAAACCCCGGACCTTCCGCTCTCCGGGCGGACACTCTACCACTAGATCACGGACGCGGTCCCGATTGTATAGCCCACTGAGATACCATGCCGCAGTTTAACATGAATACCCCACTCAAACACAGTATACCGACCAGTCCTTGTTTCAAGCCCTTAATGCCGAGCGCCAGACAGGGAAACAACAAGTACCATCTTTTAACGTCTTTTAAAACAAGGACTGGTCAGTGAGCTAGCACTATAAATCGGCATCAGTCCGGACTAGTACAAGCGCGAGCGCGCGCACACACACACACGTCGCAATATAAGTGCAATAATCTTGGACGCGACGTTAAACCCCATTTCACCTCACCTTTTATGGAGGGGTTGTCCTATCTTCACACAATGAGGAGATAAAGATATGTGTTTAATGAGAGTGGACAGGGAGGAACCAAGCGACTGACCTTACTCCTACAACGTCAAGATCAAGGTTTTTAGCTGTCCGCAGTAGGTCGCTGACGTCACCAGGGTGGCAGCCAAACTTGGCTGAGAGGTCGTACATAACTTTATTGCCAGCTGGGGGGACAATCCGCATTAGGAGTCTGGAAACATATGGAGACATATAATATTTAGATCACAGGGGTTTGTAATTTTTCTGTCCTGTATCCAAAGTATATAAACATGAAAAGGGATGACATTCTTGCCGATGTAAGAGACGTTGTGACATTGCACTAAAGCTGATGTATACATGTACGTATATCCTTGAATTGCAGGCAGTGATCGTCAGCAGGCAGTATATATATACCAATGCTTATATGGAGTAAATATAAATGGTCCATGCAAGAGAATAACCAGCCCAGATAATCTGCCGAAACAGATTCCACTTGGCGTAGTGAGTGAGTAAGTATGGTGTTACGCCGCTTTTAGCAATATTCCAGCAATATCACGACGGGGGACACCACAAATGAGTTCACACATTGTACCCATGTCGGGAATCGAACCCGGGTCTTGAGCGTGACGAGCGAATGCTTTAACCACTAGGCTAACCACCGCCCCTCCACTTTGCGTAAAGGGCAAATAGCTGTTGAAATTATATGAATGGACCACTGGTCAGTGATGACGAAAAGGGTAAGCATGTCCTGCTCTACCGGTAGCACCCGCCATTCAAACAATTTGCATAATTAGAAAGTATCTATTGCCTGACACAACACAGCAGTACTCCTGCCTTGCGACGTCAGCCTGTAAACAAACCAGACAATCAAGTGATCGATGAACCAGAATATCCAGTGACACGAGAGTAATATTACTGATTTGGTTGAAAATAATAAAAACGGTGTGCCAATTTTGAACTACGTCTGCTGTACAAGTGCAGAGATTTTGCTGCTTATAAGTAAAGAAAAATGTCAAGAAATATATTCCTTTTGCAACATAATGGGGCGCAGTTTTAAAGTCTCGGCCCAAACATTTCTTTTCTAGCTGACTCAGCACAGATAAACGCTACTGAGCTTATGGTGAAACCCGGGGACTTCAGTCCACCAGCAGAAACATTGACCCAGTTCAAGTGAATATAAAATGTCAATGCCAGAGAATAACCAGTCTAGATTTTCTAAGAAACGCTTAGAGCGAGACGAGAGGACCTCATGGCATAAGCATGACATCATCGTCATGTGACAGTTCTGCGACTGATGTCTGAGCACATGAATCAGACATTTTAAGGAACAGTCATAGCAAAGTTTTTTTGCTGTTTAACTAATTGCCAAGAAATACTTTCAACAATATCGTGACTCCAAACCTAAGAGATCAGCATGGCCGTCTTGTCAACTTAAAACAAATCAACTCACAACAGGAGACACAAATAGTACTCTTCAGTACCAACATCAGGTATCCCCGGTGGCTGTGAGCTTTCAATAGTATATATACATCTGTTATAATCTCATTAAGATCAGATCAAAGATCTGAGGACATTCCTTTACGGGTCACGTCAGAACGACCTTTCATCCAACTTATCAGAGCGTCGCTTACCAGATCATGAAAGTGACAGTCGGAATGTGGTTTCTAATCATGCATCCTCGAAATACTTAACACAGGGTATTCCGAACGACAGT